GGCAGTGGTTGTGAGGGCTGAGGGTTTGGGGCTCGCTTGTTCAGGCACTTAACAAGACACGCTCCCCTGCCCCATGGCCGATGGAGTGTGCAACACCTCCCCTCTCCTCCACCTGGCAGGGTGGCCATGACTGTCAACCACAAGCCCTACCTAGACACGCCTCCATGGCACACATCAGCCGACCTTCCACCAGGAGGAAGTGGCTGAGGGCTTAAAAAAACAAAAGCAGCTGACGTGAACATCCTTTTCTGTGGGCCAGCTTTCCAGGGCCAACAGACCACATCTTTCTTATCTAGGCAGTAAGAGGGGGCTGTTAGAGATGAGTCATGGACACCCCTGCAGAGGTGTTCTTAGCTGTTCTTAGCCACAAGGGAAGGTGGGCTGGGAGAGTGCAGGTCTCGCCCAGGGAAGCAGGGGCCCTTCTGGAGGGGGGGTGCTCGTCTTTTCTTTCCGCAGAGCCTGGCCTGGGCTGGGGGACCTGCGAGGGACTGACTCCCCACCTGATGGTGATTTGGTTGTTATGAGGATGGATCAGGATTTATCCTGAAGACAGCAAGAGAAATTTTAAAAAGGAATTGTGATCTACAGATTCTGTGCAATTCCAATCAAAATCCTAGCAAGCATTTTTATAGATATTCGGGAGCTGATTTTACACTTTATAAGGAAAGGCAAAGGAACTAGAACAGCCAAGACTCTGAAGTCTCCTTGGGCAGACAGGCAGGAGCACAGGCAGAGAGAAAGGTGGGTGACTGTCCAGCATGGCTGAGGGGCGAGGCCCTGGGGTGCCTGCCTCCAACTCTGCTGGAGTCCCATTTCCTCAGACACAAACTGAGGAAATGCACTGGCCCCACAGCGCATCTGGGCGGACAACTGGATGTGCTAAACGATGCTACTCAACTTCTTTCCCAAGGACCATCTCCCGTACCAAGTAAGGGGCGCTCTACGAAAGGGTTCCTGGCCACTAATTTCTTGGTCGCATAGCCTTACTTCTACTTATCACCCAGTTTGCCCAACTACTGCCCTATTTGCAAAGTTGGCGCAGGCCTATGTAAAAGTTAATTCTGCCTTTTCCAGGAGTGTCTCGAGTCCTTTAGCTCCCTCAGGAGGGCCTCAAAGTGTCTTCCTTCTGCCCAGATCCCCAACACCATCCTGGTAAACGCTATGGTATTTGTTCCATTCCCTAGGGAATCGAGTTTTGTTTTTCCCCCCATCTTTCAGTTGAAGATACCCAGGTGAGGAGGCTCACAGAGGCACCGTGACTTGTCCAAGGTCAGAAAGCCGATCATCGGCAGGGCCTGGCCTTGACCCCAGGAACTGCTCCTAAATCCCGAGTTCTCTCCATCTGTCTAGTTCCTGCAATTTTGGTGCTTGCTGCTGAACAAAGAATTGCCTCAACACCTGTTATTTCCCCTAAGTCCTGTGCAGTGTAAAAGAAAGTGCACAACAAGCTCGCTAACATCAACCAAAGGAACGGGCCACCTGCCACCTGCCTGCGCAGCGCCTATGAGGCCACCATTACGTCTCCCTCGCTATTCCAGTGGCCTGTACAGAGGGGGTGGGGGATGTCTGTCCATGCCTCTAACAAGGGGTGACATCACTCCCCTTCACACGGCTGGTTCACCCCTCTGGGCCTTCACTGCCCAAATCCGACCTTCGGGGATTCCAGGCCCAATTCAAGAGGCGTGTTCTCCACTAGGCCTTGCCCTGCTGCCCTCGGCTGAAGGCAGCCCTGAGCGGGCACTGCACTCTTCAGGGCTGCCCACCTGGCACCTGGGCTGAACTGCACTGAGGCAGGCTGTTTGTACCTCCCAGGAGCCCAGACACTTACTGGTGACTGCCCTCGGAGGTCACCCCTCCCCGTTCCAGCGGAGCTGGAAGGTCGCCCCTTTCTCCCCAGTGGCAAAGGGGACTGTGGTGGGGCTGTGGCCTAGGGGCGTTGGAGCCTGTTCCCAAGCCATAAGCATCCTGCTGGGAGTCCCTTTCCAGACTTGGGGTATAGAGAGGAGAAAAGTCCCCCTTGCTTGCATGGTGGACACAGACTGCTGCCTCCTGCTCTTCCTGGAAAGCCCATGCCCAAGCGCTGCACCCCGTAGTCTGGGGCTAAAGCCACACGGGTCTGGCCCCTTAGTATTGGGCCCAAGGCTCTGCCCTGCCTTCCCTTTGCTCTCAGCCTGCTGAAGTCAGCAGAGTCCACATTTCCTGGGGGCTACAAATGCTGACACAACTCCACTCCAAGTTGAGGCTGGGCTTCCTGACAACCAAGGGAGTGACTGAGCAGCAGGCCCTGCCCAGTAAGGGATGCTGAGAGAAGTCAAAGTCCACCTGCCCACGGTCTCTGGATGGACAGCTGCAGAAGCGAGCTCCCGGTTACCAGGAGCTGCTGACCAATTCACCATACTCCACTGCCTCAAGAGGCCAACCAGAGAAAAGCGAGCAGGACAAGTCGAAGCAGAACCCAATTCCATGGCCAGCTCGTGTGGCCTCTGGGCTGCTATGAGCAAAGGAACAGGGGCCTGCACTTGCCCAGTCAGTGGGCTCGGCATGGGACTTCAGAGAGGGTGTCATGCTCCATCACAAATGACCCATTAAAACCTTCCGAGTGAGTGGGGTCTCTTTTATCCAGAGCTCATTGATAGGAACCTGGAACCGTGCGTCCCCTTCGCGTTCTTTTTCACCGTGTTTTTATTATGAAATATCTGAAGCACACAGAAAAGTTCAGAGAGTTAACACAACACATGAATTCAGCTCCCGCAGAGTCAACAAAAGCAACATTTTGTCATATTTGAGACAGGTTTGTCCCTCCTTCTCTCTCTTTTTAAAGAAATCACATATTTTAGCAGGTTAAAGCTTTTCCCTAATTCCGTTTCCTCCTGGCTGCATCTGCCCGCGACTAATCTGAGGCCCTGTGCCTGTTTGTTCTGCAGCTTTTGCTTCACAGCCTGACCTGTTACACACACACACACACACACACACACACACACACACACACACACACACACGCCAATTTGTTGCCAGTCTGGCTCCCTCCAGAGAAATGGCAGCTCCATGTGGGAGGAACGCGTTTTGTCCACTACTGCCTCCCAGGGGCCTAGAACCCTGGACAAATCAGACAACCAGTTTAATTGGTTCTTGTTGGCTGAATAACACACATATTATTGTGTGTGCTTCTGAATTTGACATAAAAGTTCCTGCCCTGCATGTCTCAATCTGAAGCCTACTTTTCCCTCCATTCAACGAAACGTTTGAGATTTAATCACATGGTTCACCAGTCCAGTCTACTGTATGACCCGCCCACCCACCTGCTAACCAATGAGCCTTCTCTTTTTCATTAAGGAGGCTCAGAGACGGGACCTCCCAGCAAAGCAAAGACAGCCCAGAAATTGGGACTTGAGGCTCCAGCCAATGACTGAGAACCCAAGAACAAACCAGAAGCAAACCAAAGGTTCTCTCAACAGTTACCACAGAATGGGGGAAACTGCAGGCACCCACCCCCACATCACACAAGGCTGGGATCACCAGACAAAGGAGCAACCATCTGGCCTTTGTCGCTGTCACCAGCGAGGGGCCTGTGAGGTGCTGGGGGTACTAAGGCCCAACAAGAAAGCACAGAGCACAGTGCTAGGGTAGCGAGGGTCCCGGTGCTGTCATTTAACATCCCAGCCTTTCAGCACAAAGCTGTGACCATGACCATCTCAGCCCAACTAAGGTGGCAGGGACCCCACAGGGCTGCTGTGAGGACAGCGTGAACACACCTGGTAGGCTGTCAAGCCGTGTGTACACGCACACACCTCTGGAACTGGAAGAGCCCTGTTTCATTTGAGATGGGCTCCTGAACAAGGCAGACAGGAGGGGCCTGCGCCTGGGAGGGTTCCACTCGCACTGGTGAAGGCAACACGAGGCTGTGACACCAGGAAGGCCTGCTCCCAGCTGCCAGCCGGCTTCCTCTGGGGAGCAACCATCCCCTTCTGCAACACACCCTCCATGAACAGCCCACAGAGGTCAGCTTCCTCGGGGCACCAAGATCTGCTCCCCCAAACGAGGAGGCCCCTGCATAGTCCCTGTGCCTGAAGGAACTGCTCAGGGCCAAGGACACCAAGGCTGCCTGTCCACAGACACCAAATCTGACCCCAAGCAGAGCTCCCCAGCTAGCCTTGTGGCCCCAGCTCAGGGCTGGGAGTGGGTGGGAGGACAGGGACCCCCCAGAACTTCTGGCATGGAAGGGCTAGCAGACATGAAGGCTGTCCCCAGCTCATGGAGAAAATCGCACAGTCCCCCCCCACACACACACACACACTGGCTCTGAAAACATTTCCCAGGAATGTTTTAGGCAAAGCAGCCTCTGAAGCTCTACGGAGGTTCCAGCACTCAAGTGCCTGCAACCTCGGGTAAGAGATCTGTGTTTGGGAGACTTCAGTTGACTCAACCAGATGACAGGATTTGGCAAAATAAAATAGTCTAAGTGAACTACTGAGGGGGTGGCGGGAAGGCAGAGACAAAAGAAAGAAGAGACTTCAGTTGACTCAACCAGATGACAGGATTTGGCAAAATAGTCTAAGTGAACTACTGAGGGGCTGGCGGGAAGGCAGAGACAAAAGAAAGCAGCAGGGGCCTCGAGCAAGGAAAGGAATCTCAGGCGGAGGGGAGGGCGTAGAGGCAGTGCTGTCAGGGTGCTGTCAGGGAGCGCTGAGAGGCGACATGGGAACCCAGGGGAGGCTGGCCCAGGCCGGAGGAGGGGTGGGCAGAGCTCAAGCCCAGGGAGAGTCTGAACCTGATTTTGCAGGTGCTACGCCACGCAGAGCTTTTAGGAGAAGAGGGGACATGTGGTGGCTGAGAATCAGGTGGCCAATGGGGGAGGGTGCAGAGGAGGCTCCAGCTAGGGAGAAAGGTAGGTTTTTAGGTCTGAACCAGGCAGCCATGGGGTGGAGAGACCTGACCGCGGTGTTGGGAGGACATGGGTGAGCCCCTTGTTAGGGGCTCGAGGAGAGCTGCAGGGGCCTTACCTGTGCTTCTCAGCTTCCTCCTCCCCGTCTCGGAGCTGCTTAGTCTTTGGCTCCCCATCTTCCTTGTCCTGAAGAGAAAGGGAGAAAACCACCTGCTCAGATGACTGTTCCTACGTCCAGTCCACACTTCCCAGGCAATTAATGAACAGGACATCTTAGGAATCGGACGCCCTGGCAGGGACCAGCCTGGCATTCCAGCCTCTGAGTGGGGCACATGCCCGCTGCAAGTGACTGACGGGCACGACGCTGGAGCCTCACTCACCCGACTCCTCTGGAAGAATGAAAAAGCCCATGGCCCCAGCCGAGGCCCAGGCTCGGAGCGGCCTCACACAACACTAGCAGGAGCCAGAAGGTTTCAGGTGTGAGCAAAGCTGGTGGGTGGGCTCGCACTGGCAGGCCACCAGCCCCCTTCATGGGTCTGGATGGAGCCACCTGCTGAGCTGGGAGAGCCTGGGGAAGAGCGGCCACCAGCTCTCCAGGCAGGACAGGCCTCCAGACTCCCGTTCCAGGCCAGGGGCCTCTCCAGAAAGAGGAGCGTAACTCAGACCAGGACCGGGCTTGCAATCACTCACCCCTGCAGTGCATTCAGGAACTAGTTTCAAGTTTCTATGGGAAAAAGTCCTTCTACATCTGGCTCTTTTGTCTTCCTCCTGCCACGACCTCTCTGCAAGGCCTGAGAAGTCATGGTCATCTCAACCTTGACCTAGTAGGCTTGTTCTCCAGGTGTATGGAGGCCCCAACAGAAGGACACCACCAACCACACTGCTCCCAGCGCAGCACAGAAAGCCTTCCTGAGCTTTCTCCCTCAACACGTGACTATTGCTGCTAGATCAGTCTTACCCTGCAGACAAATGGACACATAGGAGGGACTCCCTGCACCTCAGGGTGGCCCTCTAGGGGAGTCAGTGTTTACTTCACTACTGACGTGGCCTGCCTCTGACTCTGGCTGGAGCAGTGTCCTGAGATCTGTAAGCCACAGGGACATAAGAAAGATAAGACCAAGCTGGCACTGACACATAAATCAGAAGTCAAAGCTGCATGTACTGCCTCTCCTAGGAGTTTGTTTATGCCACTGGCAAGTGCCTCCCCGAGTGCCGAGTGCCGCTGGCCCTGAGTCACTTCCTGCCTGTGTTCATTGTGGAGACCTTGAGAACACACAGACCCCACCATTCCTATGGGGGTGAGGACCACCGAAACCAGGCTGGCGGCACGGCCCAGAGACAGGCTTCTCAGGTGTGAACAGAGATGCACCCCCTCATTCTCTGAACCCAGGGCCGCTCGGTCTCATGGGGACAAGGCAGCAGGAACAAGTGACAGCAGCTATGTGAAAGAGGTCAACGTGGTCCTGTGTGGCGGGTGGGGCATTCCTACCAAGGGGTGGGCAGAACTTGGGTGTTACATTTGGGGAGACAGGAGTAGGAAGGGCATTCGTGGAGGGGAGCACAGCTTGAGCAAGGGCAGGGTACGGTCTGAAGAACACGCAGGTGACTGGAGCAGCAGTCTCGGTGGAGGTGAACGCTGGTAAGGTTGTCAAGGCAGGTGGGGCCGACCAGGGCTCTGGCCAGGGTTCCAAGGCAACAGGAGCGGGAGGGGAGACTGGGGAGCCTCTGGAGGGAGAACCAGAGGCCTTTCTTAAGAGCCTGCAGACCATGTTTGGCATGTAGGCCCAGGGCAGGGAGGCATTCACTTGGTGATAGCCAAGGAGGGAAGGGAGAGCAGAATACCAATGTGTAACTGAGAAACGAGTCAGGGTTCTCCACGTAGCTCCCGGGGCTGCTGGGGCCCGGGGGTGATCTTCCACAGAGGCCATGATACATGAACTCCCTCTCCCCCACCCCCCAACTAAATGCTGGCCGATGAAGCAGGCCAGAAGCCAAGACACTCAAACACAAAGCTCCTTGCCAACTGCCAGCCAGCAGACTGATGGCCAGAGGTGCCTGCCTCGGGGAAAGGGGGCGACGGATGACTCCCCTTGGTAAGGACAGAGGCAGAAGAGCAGAAAGGCTCAGCTGTCCCCTAACGTGGGCTGGTGGGCAACCCCGCAGGGAGGCTGCTTTCCATGGGGGCTGTTAACCTGGAGCAGCTGGTGGAAAAGGGTGGGAGCTGTGGGGACAGCCTTCGGGAACGAGTCCTTTGCAAACACCATGCCCCTTTCCAGCCCTTGAGCAAGGGCAAACTCAGTGGCCACAGCTGCCACCACCCTCCTGGAATCCCAGAGACACTCAAGTGCCTCGGCAAAGGCCAAGTTATTCATTAACAAAGGAGAAACCACCACCTGTCTAAAGGACGTTTCAAAACTGCCCAGCAGTTTGGTGGGTGGGGTGCAGCACTGGTTGAGGATGACCCCAGCCTGGGACGCTGTGCTATGCGCAGGGGCCGTGAAGAAATGCGTGAGGGGCAGCAGCAGGAGAACAAAGACACTGGCCACACAAACGCGGGGACACGGCGCGCCAGCCTCCCTGCTAAACGGCGATGCCAACGGGGCAGTGAGCATTCACGAGAAGGAAGATGGCTTTTGGGCGATCCTGGCCTCGGCCACCAGGCAGGACCCTCACTGCCTGGGGTGGGGGAAAGTGTGCAGCAGCCTCAGAACTGGGGGGGCTGGCAGGACCACCGCCATCAGGCCCTCATTTCAATCCATGGGAAGCCTGGCAGAGGTGGCTCGGGTCTGGATCAAGGTCCTCCTGACCCCCGCCCTGGGTTCTCACCAAGGAGACGACAGAGAATGCATAAAGAGTGGCACCTGGTTTCTAAAAACAGCTCTGCTCCTGCCCACCCCCATTCAGAGCTGGCCGTGTGCACTCAGACCGGCCACAGCCAGCCGGAGTCCAGGTCTAAACACTGGCAGACACCCATGGGAGGAGTGCAGGCAGGCCCCAGGTACACAGCATCCCGGGGGGTCTGGAGACACCCCGAGACCCTTAAATCTGACTCACTGCCGTTATAACCCCTCTTACTCATTTCCCCGCCCTTCTGCCTCCTTCCCAGTCCTGTTCGTTACTTCCCCCCTCCTATACCACCGGCACAGGCCCCCACCAAAACCGAGCCCACAGCCATTCCCCTCCGCTCCTGCCAGCCGGCCGGCCACCCCCTTCACTCTGGAGGACAGAGCTGCCTGCTGCACTTTTCTCCTTTTTTTTCTAATCCATCTCCCCTAAATCTCCTTCCACCTTTTCCATCATATCACTGGCATCCCCTTCGAAGACACCGGTCGGATCATACTGTCCCTCTGCTCACAGCTCTCGCTGCTCCCCGCACCCCAGGACGACAGCCATTCTCCTCAAGGTCCAACCTCCGGAGGCCCCACCACTTGCCCTGCAGGCCATTCACACTGGCCCCCGTCCAGAACACCGGGACCCTGTCTCAAATCCTGAAATATCCATTCTAACACCAAAGAAAACCTACCCTCTGGCCAGTTCTGGAGGCACCTTGTGGGGTTCCCAGGCAACGGGCTCTGTTGTTCCCTCTGGGCCCAGAGCACGTCAGAGTCTGACCCTAGGCCCAGGGCACAAGCCTATGGTCATTCCTATTCATACCCAGGTCCACTACCCCCTCCTCAAGTCCCTCTCAGTATGGGGGCATCTCCTGGAGCCCCTCCAGGCCGAGCCCAGAGCCTGGGCTAGACAACCTTTGTGAACTCTTGGCCAATTACACTCCTGTCTCCACCAACTCTACAAGAGCCCAGCTCTCAAGGAACGCTGGTGGCTAGAAGGCAGAAATGCCAGCCTGGACCCGGGTCCTCCCCACAGCCTGCTTGCCTTTCCTGGGTGTACCCCACATTTCTGACCCCAGCCCAGGTTTTCACACCAAGGCCTTGGCCCTGCCCTCACCTTCCCCAGAGCCTGCAGGAGGAAAGGGCCTCTGAGGCAGGACTTCGAGGGCTCTCAGAAGCAGCCCTGCCCCAAACAGGGCCTGCCTCATGTTTCATAATGCTCGAAATCCTTTTGCCAGGAACATAACTTTTACAAATAAAACTAGGGTTGTGCAAATCGATATTATATTTCTTCCTTAAATGTACGATAAGACTTCAGTGCAGCCATCTTGGCCTGAAGTTTTCTTTGCGAGGTTTAGGTACAGGACTCTACAGATTTTCTATTTCTTCTTGAGTCGGACATTAACCTGTATCTTTTAAGAAAATATCCATTCTACCTAAGTTGCTGAATTTACTAGCATACAGTTGCATATAATTATTCCCTAGTTATCCTTTTAATGCCTGTGGGATCTGTGGTGATGTCCACTGATACTGATAATGTAGGCCTTTTCTTTTACTTTATTAGACCAGCTAGAGGTTTATCAATTTGGGGCCATGTGCAGACTTGGTATTTTAATGATGTGTTTGCTCCCAAGTCTCCTCCTAGAAGGAGCCCTCGCTAGCTGAGTACACCTGCCTCTGAATGGTATACGAAGTGGGGTGGGGCTCAATCCATATTTGCTGCCTGAATGGAGGACCACTACTAGAAGCTCAGTCAACCACCAGAAATGCAGAGGAGGGGTGGGGAGATGGGGGGCTGATGCACCTCTTCCTGCTGCCCTCCCCACCCAGGCAAAGAAAAGGGTCCCTCTTCCCTGGGGCCCCCGGTCTCCTGTGTGTGCTGGGTCTGCCCTGGGCACAAGGATGAAGGAAACAAAAGCCCTGCCCTCAAGGATCTCAAGTCTATTCAAAGGAGCAGACTTAGAACATGTAACTCTGCCACGAGTGGTGAGGAAAGCAGGTGAGCGCAGGGTTCTTGTCTTTCCGTTAAATGTTTTGTCTACTTGGGAAATTGGCATGGGACAGTGCTGTCAGGGAAGGAGGTAAGTAGCCCTTAACTCAAGTCTAAATGTCCTATGGGAGGCTACCAAGGGGCTCCAGAAGGCAGGGCATGCCTGGGGATGGTACTGCCTGGCACAGACATGAGAGCAGAGCAAGGGCACCGTCAAGGCTTGCAGGGCAGAGCCACGTGGCCAGCCCGGCGGGGACTGATGGAGGTCGGGGTAGAGGGGCTGACAGGGCCTTCCTCCAGCGCCATGGGTGGGCTGAGCCGGCAAAGGACCACGCTCTGAAGAGGCCCTCTGGCAGCCTAGGTGA